ATGGATGGATGGATGGATGGATGGATGGATGGATGGATGGATGGATGGATGGATGGATGGATGGATGGATGGATGGATGCATGGATGGATGGATGGATGGATGAATAAAACCAGCTCAGTCATATAAATAGAACCTTCTGAAGGTCCCATTTATAAGACTGAGTTTAGTGCGGCTCCTCAGACTGAAGAAGTCTTTTGGATTGAAGACGAAATGTTTCAACAAGTTTTTTTGTTCTTTTTTTATCTGTCCAGAGGACCTGACTTAACTTTTTTAGATGTTTCTACCTGGATTATTGAGCATGCATCAGAATATAATGAATGATGGGACATATCATTAAGAAAGAATAATATTAAACTGCTGCCCCAATGTCAGACTCACCTCTTGCAAACCGTCTTTCTCTCACACGTTTGCTCAGTGCAGCTCTACAAAAACAAAGTTACAAAGTGAATTAAAGGAAATAAATTAAGACACAATTGTAGACATGCATTAACATTTATAATGTGGACAGGAAAAAGCAACCCTTACAACTGGACATGGTGGCAGATCTTTGGTGGATTCATCTCGAGTGTCTAAAAATGTAAAACAAAAAAATCTTTTGAGTATTTTTATATCATACATGTGACATCACAACAACGCCCATCCTACCAAAGACATGTGTACCTTTCTCCGAGTCCACACTGTCACTGCTGTTTAGCATCAAGAGGGTTTCTGTATCAACTTTAGAGCTTTTACATTCCTGAGCCTCCTCGTCACTTTGAGTCTCTTCTGTGCAGTCTTCATGTTTTGGCTCCTCCAACCAAGGAAAGCAAATGACAACTAAATACCAGTGAGCCCTAAAAAACATTTAAAAAATAGTTACATACTGCATTTAAGATTCAACACAATGTCTATAAATGTGTGTGTGTGTGTGTGTGTATATATATATATATATATATATATGAAATATAAAGTATATACTTTATACTTTATATTAATAAAGTATTTTTTAATTGAATTGAATATAAAACTTACTCCTGATTGACAGGCACAAACAGGAAGTCCTTTTCAAAGATCTCCACGTGTCGAGTCCATGTCTTCACTCGCTGGTGCCGCCTCTGCCTTTGACAACTGTTTGCAGAGTGAAACAGTGTAAAACAACTCATGTAACAGTACCGTGATTTAAACTGGTACTGAAACTTCACAACTAATTAGGTTATCACATGACCGAGACTGAAAGCCTCAACGTCAAATTAAAAACATGCAGAATTAGCTTGTAAAAAGTTGAAATGAGGGCAAAAATTGTGGAATTAGATGAAGAAGCTTAAATTAGGTAGCTGAAATAGTAAAAAAAAAAATAAAAAATAAAAAAAATTTGCATAAATAAACGGAAAGGAGCATAACAAGCTGAAATGAGCAGAAATGTTGTAGCTAGTTCTAACTTTTCAGCTACCGTTTTAGCATATTTTTAGCTAATTTTAGTCATTTTAAGATAAATTCTCGTGGTAATTTCTGCTACTTTCAGCCTAATTAACTTCTTGCCGCTAATTTCAGCTTGTTATGCTCATTTCAGACTTTTTTGCTAGTTTCAATCTTTTCTGCTATTTCAGCTAATATTCAGCGGCTTTATGTTAATTTTAGCTTTTTTTTTTTTTTTACTTAATTCCACATTTTTTAGCTCATTTCAACTCTTTCCGCTGCCCTCTGTAAGTTTAAGCTTCTTTCTGCCTTTTCAGCTACCTTTCAGCAATTGTTTTTCTTGCTAATTTCAGCTTTTTTTTTTTTTGCTAATTTTCTCATTTATGTGCTCGTTTCTGCTTATTTAAATCTAATTCAGCAAATGTGTTCTTTCTGCTTTCTTCTTATAATTTAGGCTTGTTCTTTCATTTCAACTACATTTCAACACGTTTTAGCTCATTTCAGCTGTTTTTCAGCAAGTTCTTCAGCAATAAGCATTCATGCTGCATTTTTGCAGGAAATGCAATTTTTCTAGTTTCTCAAATTATTCTTCTTCCTGTTAAACACATATGAATTGCCAAAAAAACTGTACGATTTTAGCTTTTAAACTGCTCACATTTTTTTTATAAATGTAGTTTTTTTTTTTTATTTAACATCAGATTAAACATATTCAGATTTAAAATTCTAATTAGTCAACTTACAATTCACTATTACTGCCTTCGCTGGCGTTGTCCCTGCGCGTCAGCTGCTTGTAGAAGAAACTGCTGAAGATGTGGCAGCGCTCAGCGATGGCAGCAGATGCATTCTGGATGAGGTATCTGGTTTAAAGACATTTTGTCATTTTGGCTCTAGTCTCAACATCAGTTTAACCGTTTCAAGATTTAAAATACTTCACTTACTTTAGGTAAAAATCAATGATGACATCATTGAGGTACTGCCCACTGTCAAGGCACTGCAGGTCTTCCATGGTGACGGTTATTCCTCCTTTCAACGGCGGCGGAGGAAACTGGATCAACCTATAACAGAAAAATGTGGAGGACAATAGAAAGGTACTTTTAAAGGTATGCTGAATGAATTTGTAATTATTAAAAATATATTCTTATTAAAACAGTAGCATTAGGAGTTTGTTAGACGGTAGCGAGGATAGCCTGGAGGATAATGTGGGTAACTTGCCTACGGGCCACGCCCTGATGCTTATATTTAATCCAGTTGGAGTCCGGTTTACTCAGTGACACAGAGTAGGATCCTTTTGTTCTTTGATGGCAAACTGTGTATACAGGCTGGGCTTCCTTCTTTTTGCTCTACGGACATAAATATATATATATATATATATATAATATAATAATTATTAATATATAATATAATATATAATATGGTCTCCCATAAATCAGAGGATTACATCATACATAAACTTTAGGACCCTAATAGGACATAATGAACTGGAAAGATTGTAAGATGATGAGCAGAGAGTAAAAAAAAATGTATCCAACAACCATGTAGTCTATTTTCACAGTTGACTTTGTGTTGAGTCAATGTTGTGATTAAAACATAGTTAGGGAAACATTTTGTTTGAACTAAAACATAAGTATTAGCATCTTTTACTCATGGACTGCTTCAACTTAAAGAGTCACAAAAACCAAAGAAAATCATTTAAACCCCTTACATCAGAATTCTCCAGCTCTTCTTCCTTCTGGTCTTCTTTTGGTTCAGTTTGTGCCTCTGTGTCTTCACTTGGTTCGATTAATGCGTCTGTGTCTTCTGGTTCCGGTTCCAGCTCCTTCTGAAGGTCAACGTCCACCCAGATGTGAGCTGTAGGAAGCTCGTCTTCATCATTGCTTGGACTGTCCTGGTCCCTACTTTGTTCAGTGTCAGTGCTTTGTATGCCCAGCATGCAGAGTAGATGCGAGTCCAGTCCAGTTCTTGCAATCAGGTCTATGCTTTCATCCAGAGTAAGAAGAGGAGCTTTGAGATCTACAAAATTACCAAAAATGTCTTCACTGTGGTCTGAAATGGCGCGCATGCGTGTCATATTGTTGATACAGTCAATGTCCAGCACAGAGCGCAACAAAGCTCCTTCCATTCCCTCCAGAGGATCTTTGAGAGTCAGCAGAATAAAGGGGCTGGCTTTTTCTGTTAAAACAAAAAAGATCAATAAAACACAGTCCATTACCCTGCAAAAATGATTTAGAAATATCTGCAGCATTCTGACATCTGTTTTATGTTGACACAAGTGCCAACATAACAATATTCCAGTAATCTCACCTGTATTTATGGATCCCTCATCTTCGACACATAGCTGGCAAAGGTCCCGCTGTACAGCAGCAGCAGCTGTTTCTGACACGTAGAACAGCAGGATGCCAGAAGAATGCTTCTCGTCACCTTCAAACTGAAAACCACTGAGCTCCAGATCCTGCTGATCCCAAACGCTGTACCTCCTCAGCTCTGTACGTTCAAAACTGAACACCTCCTCCTGCTGCTGCTCTTTCTTGTCTGAGGACCAAAGTAGATATGATTGGCTTTATGTCTGCAGGTGATGAAATCAAACAATAACACTGCTATCTTTCATTCAAACCCAACTCTAAAAGTTACAGAACGTTCTACAATAACTTGCACGCACAGTCAGCAATACCAGCAACTGGGGGACTTCCTGCAGGAATGATATACCATAATATTATCGTATTTTCCAAAGTATACGTCACACATTTTTGCATAAATTTGCAAGTCCTGCGACTTCCACACCGAAGAGACTAATATACGTTTTTTCCCCATATTTATAACCCGATTTTTGACTGACACTTGAAATGTTCATTCGTAGACATGAACCGAGGGTGGGCCGAGATGGGGCCGAGATGGTGTAGAGGCTGGGCAGCCGGTTTTGGACCTGAAAGTCCCACGTTCGATCCCCAGTCACTGCATACCTCGGGGTGTCTCTGGGCAGCACACCTCAACCCCAAAATGCCCCCCAGCACTTTCAATAGCTGCCCACTGCACCATCTGGTGGTGGATGGGTTAAATGCAGAGATTAATTTCACCATTGTATGGAAACATACCGTGAAGATATTGTGATGACATTATCATTATTATTATGAACCAGTAAACTTTACCAGTTGCAGCCGCTAGAGGGCCCTCTAGGTGTTTATATGTTGTTCCTCTATCCCACTACCGCACCCCACACACATACGCACAAACGTTCACAGAGACAAATGCGAAAAACTTAACACAAGTAAAATGCCCCCAAACAAAAAATCTTATTTTGCAGATTACAAACTGCAGGTAATAAAATACGCAGCCCAAAACGGTAATCGAGCAGCAGAAAGAAAGTTTATAAACGGGTGCAGTCCATGCAGTCTGTATGGGGGATTCAACCTGGCGGAAGGGACAGCTGCACGGTGGCGAAGGATCCCCTCTCACAGGGAACATTCCCCCTGTGTCTGGCTGGCTCCCACCAGGTGCATTTCCTCTGCGGCGGTGCGCCATCCATTCATTAATCTATCCATCTATCTTGCGACTCCAGCTGCAAGCTCTACGGCCTTCCTCTGCCGTTTGAGGTGGAAGGAAGTGGGCAGCGGAGCGCGTGTTCCGCGGCCCCAGGAAGCAGCGATGTGCGGGTGGAGGAAGGATCTAAAGCTCGCGGCCGGAGTCTTCGGCCCCGCTCCAGTGGCGTAGCAGAGAGGAACACCAGCGCCCAGACAAAATGAAGCAGTTTTGACCATTAAAGTGCATTTATTAAGGAAAAGTTAGACTGAGACACACCTTTGAAATAATTTCAAGCAAACAATTGTTTTTAAGTGTTAATCTTGTTAAATTCTTGTTAAAGTCCTCCCGTGCGCACTCCCTTGGCCGCCATTTGGCAGACAATTGATTTTTGGCACAACACTGGCTCATGTTTCCCGTGGGTCGGTGGTGACGCATAATAAATGCGACTTATATGGCAAAATGACTTATTTATTTATTTCAGGTCTCTCTTGTAAATTTTCATTCAACATTTATTTAGACAGGTAAATCCCATTGAGCCTTGAGGACTCATTTACAAGAGAGACCTGATTTCAACAAAGAATGATGACAACAATGGACAACAGCGACAACAATAAACAGTTTGTAAAAATAAAGAAAAAATTGTATGATTTTTTACAATAGGATGGCTAAAAAAAAAAGTAACAAAAAACAGCTAGATTCTAAGGCGAATGTAAAAAACTAAAAACAGGAACATGTCTGCATTGGTCCCTGCCAGGAGTCCAACAGGTTCTTAAAGCCACTTAGAGAGGTCATGGTCGAGAGCTTCAGATCTTTTTGTAAGACATTCCAGGAAACAGGAGCGGAGTAGGAGAAGGCCCTTTTGCCTAGTTCAGTTCGCACTGAGGGAACTTTGCAGGTAATAATGTCCTGAGAGCGCACACTGTAGCTGCACTCACGCAGAGACATGAAGGAGGAGCTGTATTAAGGCAACAGACCAAGAAGTGATTTAAAGATGAAAATGTACCAGTGAGAGAGTGTGCATGAAGTTAATAATGTCCAGTTAACCAGTGAATACAGGGTGCAGTGGTCGTTACGGTAGTTACAGCCAGTTATGAATCTTAGTGCATCATGATAGACAGCATCCAACATCTGCAGGGTTCTTGTAGGAGCGTTCATGTAAATAATGTCACCGTAATCAATGGAGGGAAGGAAAGTCACAGATACAAGGCGTTTCCTAGCATTCAGGGTTAGACAGGATCCGTTTCTGAAAAAGAAACCCAGTTTAACTTTCAGTTTCTTTACCAAGTTTTCCACATGGAGCTTAAAAGAGAGATGTGAGTCGACCAAGATACCCAAATATTTATAGGAATCAACAAACTCAATGGGGACACCATTTGAGGATGAGATCAGAGGAAGAACTGCTGGGACCAACTTCCTATTTGAAAAAAGCATCCCTTTGGTTTTGTTGGCATTTAGGACAAGTTTGAGGTGGAACAAATCTGTCTGGATGTTGTTGAATGCAGATTTCAAAAGCTGGAAAGCCTTTTCAACTGTTTTAGCTCGACAATAAACAACTGTGTCATCAGCAAAGAAATGTATGGATGCATTAGGGATGTTTTTACCTACATTATGTATGTAGATTGTAAAGAGGGTGGGTCCTAAGACTGAGCCTTGTGGTACACCATTGTTGACTGTTAAATAACTGGAGGAAGTACCATTATGTTGAACACATTGCCTCCTGTCTGAGCGATAGTTAGAGAACCAACCAATGGTGTGATCTGAGAAACCAATTTCTGAGAGTTTATGACACAAGATGTTATGATCCACAGTGTCAAAAGCTTTAGACAGGTCTAAAAAAAGTGCAGCACAATAACCCTTAGCATCCAGTGCTTCAACAATGTCATTAAGAACCTTCAGTGAAGCAGTGGTTGTGCTGTGTTGTTTCCTGAAACCAGATTGATGAGGAGGTAAGATGTTAAATGAGTCCAGGTAATTTTTGATTTGAGAGTTTATCAGTTTTTCTAGAACCTTGGCTAAAATGCAGAGTTTAGAGATTGGTCGATAGATGGTCAGTGAGGTGGGGTCACTTCCCTTCAGCAAAGGAAGAACAAAGGCCGTTTTCCAAGTGTCTGGAATGGAGTTTTGTCTTATGGAGAGATTGAAGATGTGGGTCACAGGGACTGTGATGATATGAGTGGCCAGCCTTAAGAAATAAGGTGGGAGTTCATCTGGACCTGCAGATTTTTGAGGATCAAGATCTTTTAACAGTTTATTGACCTCACTAACTGAGAACGGAGAAAAGGAGAAGGTGCGATTAAATGAGGATTGACTTGTAGGAGGGATTTGATTTGTAGAAGTTTGATTATTAAGTGAAGTGGCTGATTTTCCATTAGTAACTGCGTCAAATAAAGAACTAGAAGCAACAAAATGTTTGTTGAAACAGTTCAGGATCTCGTGCTTATTTGACACAGGAACAGAGTTAACGAGAAGTTGTGATGGGAGGTCAGATGATTGGGGGGTGCCTGAGAGAGATTTGATGGTTTTCCAGAATCTGTTAGGGTCATTTAGATTTTTGGAGGTCTGAGATAAGAAATAGTTACGTTTTGCAGCTTTGACAGCAGTTGTGCATTTATTCCTCATCTGTCGAAAACTCAACCAATTAGTGTCTGAGTCAGATTTTCTCGCTGCGGCCCAAAGATGGTCTCTCCTGTGCAGGAGGTCAGCTAGCTCTGGAGTATGAGTCCCCCGAGGCTCAATGGGATTAACCTGTCTAAATAAAGGTTGAATGAATGTATGTTATTTCCCACTTTCTGAGACATTTTTGGACTGATGTGACTTATACGCCGAAGCCATTTGTATGACAGAAAATACAATTAATAATTGAAATATGACGCTAACAGCAACGTAAAGGTTTACAAAATAGGTCTTGGTTGACCAGGAAATTATGGATATTTGAGTAGATTTAAAACAGCAACAATCCCCTTTGCTCTCGACCCAATTCAAACTAATTTGCTTCTCAATCTGGTCAGAATTAAATTATTTCACCAAACTGGGCTTGTTCAAAAAGCTGAAGCCCCACTTCATAAAATCTGAATGACCATTTTACGCAAATCTCAAGTTGTTTTTAAACGGAAAGCTTTTATAAATACAAAAGATTTTACCAGTTAAAATAAAGACAAAAACAGCACCCCACCCCAAGAAAAACTATTATACTAAGTTCTGTGAGAAAATTTTAGTATTTTATGTAGTGCAGAAATATCAAGGAAAAAAAAACATCCTTGAGCTGAACTATTTAGTTCTTTAAAAAATAAAAAGAAGTTTACACAAAAAAAGGCTTTATCAACAACTAGTAACTATTTTGCATAAATTGATATTTTTAATTAGGTGGCATTTTATAATTCCTATAAAAGTTTTAAGATTAACAAAAGAAATTTTAACATTTCCATTTTTCTTAAATAAACACAAACAAAATGTGTAGGTGGGTTGTAATATTCTATCTATCCATCCATCCATCCATTTTCTTCCACTTATTCGGGGTCGGGTCGCGGGGGTAGCAGCCTAAGTAGGGAGGCTCAGACTTCCCTCTCCCCAGCCACTTGGGCCAGCTCTTCCAGGGGAATCCCGAGGCGTTCCCAGGCCAGCCGAGAAACATAGTCCCTCCAGCGTGTCCTGGGTCTTCCTCTGGGCCTCCTTCCGGTGGGACGTGTCCGGAACACCTCACCAGGGAGGCGTCCAGAAGGCATCCTAAACAGATGCCCAAGCCACCTCAACTGGCTCCTCTCGACGTGGAGAAGCAGCGGCTCTACTCTGAGTCCCGCCCGGATGATCGAGCTTCTCACCCTTTCTCTAAGGGAGAGCCCAGACAAGAAAACTCATTTCGGCCGCTTGTATCCGAGATCTCATTCTTTCGGTCACAACCCAAAGCTCGTGACCATAGATGAGGGTGGGAACGTAGATCGATCGGTAAATTGAGAGCTTCGCCTTTTGACTCAGCTCTCTCTTCACCACGACAGACCTGTACAGCGCCTGCTTCA